AATTGGGGATCATTATAGTCTCAGCTGACTTGTTGGCAGGATCTCTCACAGGCTAAATTCATCCTTGGGGTAATTCTTTTGACGTATTCTGAATTGTCCCAATGATAAATTTTGCCCACTGTGTCTACTGTGTTGAAATGCCAGCAACTTGTGTCTGCCAAGAGACAATTTTAAAATAGCCTAGCTTGCATTTGGCAAGTTATTCACCCTAATAACCAGGGATCCTGGTTTTCTCTGATTTAAAAACAAATCTCCAATTTTCAGATGAAAAAAGTAACCCCAAATCCACATTTTTTTTTCCATGATTAAAGTGAAACACCACTATGTATCTACAGTAAATCCGGCACCTTACAAGACGGCATGCTCTACTAACTGGCACGCCAGTCAACGCAGCAAAAGCAAAACTGGAAGCGCCCACTATGGCACTTCTGGTTTTGCCAAGCCCCCATGGCCCAGGGCAAAGCAGCCTTTCGCCAGTGTGCCCAGGGCCCACCTCCCTGTCCCCTAGCACACTGACACGGTGGGAGGAGTGGCAGCACTCCGGATGCGGTGGCAGCACAAATAGGCAAAGACGCCTGTTTGGGCCTCTCAGATAACTGGCATATTTAGTTATCTGGCACCCCCCATTCCCTATGGGTGCCAGATAACAAAGCTTTTGCTGTATATATCTATGTAGCAGTGTTTTGCTTTAATCACAAAAAATATGGATTTGGGGGTTACTTTTTTCATCCGAAAATTAAAAAAAATAAATAAATCTTCAAAAATCAGAGAAAACCAGGATCCCTGCTAATAACTACCCATAATCACTGGTGTAGGCATTTGCTACCTAAACTACAGGGCTGAATCCCTTGCTGCAGGCTCAGCTCACTACACCTGCCTGGGACTCGCTGCATTTTTCCTTTCTCAATAAGATCCCTGTGTGGTACCCTCTACAATTCCCCCCACCCCTACTCCCTCATTCCTGGGGCTCTGTGCATCCCTTATTTCTTCTCTTCTCATCTCATACCAGGGCCTTCCATTCTTGCTCTACAAGTGGCTCCATGTACCCCCCATTCCTCCCTAAATATTCCTTGTTCCCTCCCCCCTATAGCCAAGATTTCTCTTCTTCTCCCATGTCAGAGGCTGAGTGCATACCCTTTCTCCCTTCTTCCTCACCATTATTTCCTGCCTTCCTTCTACTTGGGAAGGTATCTACACATTAAACTATGATGAATGGCAGAGCAGAGATAAGGTGTTTATTCACAGGTAATTGCAGAGGCAGTCCAAATCGTGACTCTGCTCAACAAAAAGCAAGTGCTCCACATGTTCTCCCATGTTTTCCTTTCCAATCTTCCATCATATCAATAGCCTCCTGACCACTGACCCCTGAAATACTAGAATTGATGGGACATGGTTTTCACAAATCAGACACACAGAGAAATGTCTCTGAGCTAAGCAGAAGGGCTTGCAAATTGGGTCAATGCCTCACAGAGCATGCCTTTGAGGTGTCGATGGGAGAGGACGTTTATAGAATTGCAAGTATAATTTTAGAATATTTTGGGAGGGGTAATGTGTAAAAGCCCATAGCTATTACCCATTTACATCAATGAAAAGTTTTACCAGTAGGGCACAGTGGCAGCAGATTTGGACACAAATGAACATTACGACTCCCTTTTAGTGAGAAAAGCACTATATGGAAGATGGAGGGGTACTCATTAGGGGTGTGCAAAATGGGCCACACTTTATTTGGATTCAGATTTGGCCTGAACTGGGGACAGTGATTTGATTTGTTGATTCAGATCACTGTCCCAATTCGAGTCAGCCGAATCCGAATCTGAAGATTTGATGCTGATTTGGAGAATCAGCAATTCGGCCATAGACACAGCTTTAAATGTTTTTTCTACATACCGCAAGGTACCAAGTGTGGCTCATGAATGCTGAGATGCTGGGGCAGATGGAGCGTCCCACAGGAGTGTGGTGGGGCCCTGTGGCAGGTGCAGAGATCCCACCTCAGGAACACAGCTGGGTATTCGTATCCCTCCGCTGTTTCCACCATGTGAGGCGGGCCAGTAGG